CCATGATGGGCTGAGTAAACCACGAGGGCCCGGGCGGCGGCCACAACTGCTCCAGCCTACAACATCGACCACGCAGCTCGTCACATCAAATGTCGTAATATGTTTTTATTTCCCCTGTCCCCCCTTTACCAGCACGTAGGCCACAGGTTATGCGGAATCGATGTTCCGTATGACCTGTGCGCCAGGGAAGCGTCGCAAGACGCGGGTCCCATAAAAAATGGAATTCCCCTTTGTTTTCGGCTTTCATAAGCCCGGCACGCTTTCCCGGTAACCCTGCGAGGACACACCATGAGTAATATGGTGTGTCGCCTCCGGCGGGCCGGGAAAGCATGCGACCAAAGTTAAATTATTATATTGTTTATATATGCCATGTGCCACCAAGTTATTACTTTATAACTGCCGTGTGCCCTATTATTATATTGTTTGCATTTGCCGTGCGCCAAAATTATTATATCATATTATCATTGTCATATTATTCTTAATCTTTATAATGTTAAATTTCAATTTCCCCTTGTAATGCCAATTTAATATATCCACGTGATTACCCTAAAACTATTCTTATTATTTTATATTATTTTCCCCTTTAATAAATCCTCGGCATTCACTTGCCGTTGCGTGGACAAAGCCTGTGAGCTCCACCGACTTGGCCCTTGGGTCATCACGCGGTGCGGCTCACAGGTCGCAACAAAAGTGTTCCCCTTTTGTCGTGGGTGGTTTACTGAGCCCTAAAAAGCTCCGTATTCTCTCAACATATAATAATATTAAAACAATTACCCACATAATAATAATAATAAATTAATACTATTCGTACATTATAAATACTGAAAAATAATTCATAATGAAATATTTTATTTATTTTATTATTGTGCCTATACACCTTTAATATACAAATTATTTCAATTTTTAATTTACTCATAGCTAATACGATATACCAAAATATAAAAATGTGAAATGTGAAATATAAGTTTTGGTAGTATTTATTTAATTTTAATTTGAAAGCGTTGTTGTAAAAAACTCAAAATTTCAATTAAATTCTAATTCATGCCATAATAATATTATAAAATTAAAATTAATTAATTAAACTCACTGTAGGTACTTTTTAAATAATGTACCTGGACTTTTGGTTGTTATCTTTTTGTGAAGCTCTCGTATATAATTGCCACCTGTATTAAATGATACTACAGCAGTACAGCAGTATATATTCTAGTGGTGTACGACTGTTTTTGAGAAAAATTAATTCGTTTACCGCCTATGTGCTTATTAATGACACTATTAAACTGTTCGCAGATGTTGTTATCAACATCAAGTAATAAACTTTTTGCATTATCAGCAACACGTCTAAGTGCAGTTGTCATTTCTTTCATCAAACCACTTTGCATTACTTCGTCGATCAAATTCAGTTCGTATAACTTTCTTCCAGTGCAAAAATATCGGGCACAATTAGAGTGTTTGCCAAATATATGGTATGGACTATTTAAAATATCCTTTCGCAAATTATATTAAATTTATAATATGTACCACTTTACCTGGTTGTGGCTTAGATTGTCTACATTGAATGATTTCTGTTAATTGTTATAAATGGTTTTTTGAGTACCTACCTATTTCTTTTTTTTATCATACCCAAATTGTTCAATAATTCAAGTAATACGGCCTATTTAAATAGTTTACAGCAAAACTACCTATTATAAAAGTTTTAGAGAAGAATTTTTTCAACAATTGAAATAAGCTCGATTTTTTATATTTTTATTAATAAGTTAAATAATTAATCGATAAAAAGTAAAAAAAAAAAATGTTAATTTACCATGTGATATTGGACGATTGGAATACGATATCAAAAATCGGATTTATTACGATTGTTAAAAAAATTCTCCTCTACCACTTTTATAAAAGGTATTTTTACTGTAAACCTCTTCAATAAGCCGTATTAATTGAAGAACAAAAGTAGTTTTTATTTGTATAAAATTCGGATAAGAAGAGTTTGGCCTAGTGAACAAAATATGGTTTCGTAATTCAAGTAATACGGCTTATTGAAGCAGTTTACAGTAAAAATACCTATTATAAAAGTTGGAGAGAAGAATTTTTTTAATAATCGAAATAAGCCTGATTTTTTATATTTTTATTAATGAGTTAAATAATTAATCGATAAAAAGTAAAAAAAAAAATGTTAATTTATCATGCGATATTGGACGATTGGAATACGATATCAAAAATCGGATTCCTTACGATTGTTAAAAAAATTCTCCTCTACAATTTTTATAATAGGTATTTTTATTGCAAACCGCTTCAATAAGCCGTATTACACTATTACCTACTTGAAGAACAAAAGTATACTTTTTATTTGTATAAAATTCGGATACGAATACAAAATATAAAATCGAACCAAATTAAATATTATTTGTCACAAATATAATAATCATTTTCTTATCTGGTTATTTATAAACTATGCACGGGCGGTCGGCTGCGATAGGGAACCTGTTTTGACCATGGTGCGGTACGCCGTTAATGCGCGCGGGGTGGTGGTATGCACAGCTAGTATCGAACGTTGCCACTGACTACGGGCGCAGCACTTGCCGAGCGTAATTTTCTGCAGTTTTCTTATAAAACATACTTTGCGCGTTCCAATAATATGGGTTACTGAGTGGTTTAATCGTAAAAACACCTATGAACAAAATTGTAGAGGAGAATTTTATCTGGTTCCGTAAGAAGCCCGATTTTTGATATCTTTAAAACATCGTGAAATATATCATGATTAATAATACACTTTTTTTTCATTTTCAGGAAGTTAATTTTATAACTTAGAAATGAAAATTTCAAAAATCGGGCTGCTTACGGAACCAGATAAAATTCTCCTCTACAATTTTGTTCATAGATGTTTTTATGATAAAACCACTCAGTAACCCATATTATTGGAACGCGCAAACATGTTTTTAAAGGAATTTTTCGAGTGATTTTTTTGGGTGACACGTCCTCTTAAGTAATCTATCTGTTTGAAAAGCTACGATAACAAATAAAGGATTATGGATATTTGTATATATATTTGTTATATCTTTGTGTAGTGTTTTACTAGTAGTAATATTAATTTCTTCAATACACTGTCATGATTTGACTCTAAATGTATATTCATTTCTCTTGGACAATGAAACTAAATCATTTATCAATTTAAATTTATACGCATCTTTATAAGTCACAATTGGTATGCTAATAAGTAATTCTTCAATAACAACTTTTCCAACTCCAGGTAATACCCCTTTATCATCCTTATCTCTAAATAAAGCATCATCGTCAGTACGTCTTACAAAAATTATTTCAAAACCTCCTCTATATACTGGGTATTCTATATCTTTAAAAAACCCTAAACACAAATTAGACAAGTTACCAATAACACTAAAATTACCACCACCACTAAATTTTGATTGAAATCCACTATTTATTGTTGGTCCACTAAGATCTGCAGAATAACTAATTGTACCTTTAATCAAACTAGCTCTACCAAAATTATCAATTTTATCTAATTCTTTTTGATGTTTTTTAACACAAATTGAGTCAAACAAAAATCCAGGAAAATTGTCAACTAATATTGCATTGGAACCTTTAGGATAGCTGGTACCATCAGCCTGCAAAACTTTACCAGAAATTTCAAATGTTGCTTTTTTAACATTTAAAAAACTATCTTCTTCTTGTATTTTAAAAGTAGTAGTTTTATTAGGTTCATTAAGATTTGTTTTGTCATAATTTCAAATATAATTTCCTGTTCACGGATAATAGCATGGTCATATTGTGCAAATATATTTTCCATTTATAAGGAAAAAATTTAATAAAGTTTTATAATTTAAAATTCTTAATAAAATCTAAACATAAATGTCCGCATATAGGTGGATCAGTATAAGTTTGTAATTTTTCAGTGGTGTAATATAAATCATCTTTTCCTAAATAAATTACAACTTCTTCTGGAGGGGAATCTCCAAAAGAGTCAAAATATACTTTTTTACTATCATTTTTTAACCAGGCCACCCAATGTGAACCAGGTTGATTAGAATTATTTAAATTTAATATTCCACATTCATTTTCCAAGGTTTTTTTGGTAACTCATCTTTTATAAAACAACCTCTAAAATTCTTAATATTTTTTCCTGCTTTAATAATATCAAAATTAGTTAATGGTTTTATTTCTTTTTTTGTTCTTTATTTTGTTTTTTTTAAGACTTGAACCAATCTGTAAAGTCTTAATGTTTCTAACATTTTCTTCCATCATTTTGTTATGTCTTTCTGTCTCATCTCGTTTTAGTTTCTTATCTTTTGCATCAATAACAGTATTTGCAATAGCACTAGCACCTCCTGCTAATGCACTAAGAGCACCTATACCTGATATGATAAGAGGTAAAAAACCACCTACTTTATCTTTATCTCCAAATTGAGATTTTGTAATTTTTAATCTCACACATTTTTTATCTTTCTTAGCTTTAGATAACTTATTATTTTGTCTATCAGTAAAATTAAATTTGTTTTTTCCATTACCAATCTGTGTATGCTTTAATTGAATAACTAAATCAATTTTGTTTTTATAAGCTTTTACAAGCTTTTTTATTTGAAAATCACTCAAATCCAAATTAATTTAATAGAAATAAAAAGTTATTAAATCAAATTAAACTTATACCAAAATACCTTTTTGCTATCATTGCATTTGTGGTGATATAAGCAGCTGCTTTTTCACCTATAGATGCATCTGGGGCTAAAAGCCTACCCCATGATTTATCTTCCAAAATTTTATCTCCAATATGTCTTTTTTTAATATCTTTATGTTTTTTATAAAAATAATCATGTTCCATTGCTGCCATATCTAGTTTATTTACTGGCTTCTTATTTTTTTTCTAAATCAGTAAAAGGTCCAAGATAATTATAAAAAGGCCAATGTATTTCAGGCATACATTTACTGTTTAAAAGACTATTCATAAGACCTGATCCTTCTACACATTTTTCAGGCAAAATTGTTACATAAGATATTTAATACTCAATTCCTTGTGGAGTACTAGCTAATCTTTCCAACTCAGAACTAAAAAAATGTACAATACCAATCTTTTCATTATGAAAATTATTATTTCCTGCTTTTTCTTCACTAGCAATAAAATATAATCTCTTTAATAATTCTCTTAAATTATGTATATATCTATACTCAGTATGATCTTCTGTATATTTCATTAAACCTTCTCCTTCTTTTTCTGCCTGTGAAGCAGTCTCTATCTGATCTTTTTCAGCTTCCTTGGGTGGTATATAAGGTTTTATATCATTCCACCAAATATCAGCAATCATTTTATTATATTTTTCGGTTTTCCCCTTTGTTTGATTTAACACTTCTTGATTTACTATTATTACCTTGAAATAATGAATCCGTACTAATTAATATTTCTTTATAATTATCAAAATCTTCTTCTTCATACCATCTTGGTGGAACAATTAAATTATGAGTTAATAATCTAAATAATCCTTCTGTTCCTTTATATGTTTTTCCATTTATAATTAAATTATCGTCTTTAAAAGTGATTACTTCTTTTCCAATCATATAAATATTAGTTTCAGCGTTATGATATATACCATAAGAACTATCTTTAATGCGAGGTAAATACTTGCTTGTTAGTGGACCTAAAACTATCGTATTTTTTCAGGGGGTTGTTGTTTTTGGGGACATATTTTTCCTAATTGGTGATCTTATTTCTAAAGGTGATTTACTGCCTAAAGTCGGTTTAATTGGAGTATTTGCACCATCTGTTAACCTTAATATATCAGGGCGCCTTAAAGGTACTAGCACATTTCGAATATCTTCATCAGTTTTAATATTTATTTCTTTAACTTCATTAACTGCATTTACAATATTTTTTAATTCATTTGTTACAGGTTCAAATGATTTCTCTTTTTCTTCTTCAATATACATGTTTCTTAAAGCTGCATTTTTAAGCCCCTTCTTCAGGTTATTTTCAAGTTTAATTATTTCATCTGCTTCTTTAACAGACGTTATATCTTCTCCTTTTTTCGTTACAAAGCCTCCTTTTTTTCTATTTTTCAATACTTTTCCCCTTTCTTTTAAAAAATATTGCTCATATCTTTTATATCCATTTAATAATAAAATATTTAATAAACGTTAAAATATATGTTCAATAACTATTATTTAAATAGACATTAGACGTTCTGCGTTGACGTTATACGTTTACGTTATACGTTGACGTTATGCGTTGACGTTATGCGTTGACGTTTGCGTTAATGTTTAAGTCTAAATTCATATCTTTTTAAATCTATTATAAATGTGTATACCTAAATAAAGCTATTAAAATATTGGTGTTATGATTGTGCGGGCCGGGAGCATAAAATATTAATACGCGCGCCCGGACACCAATAACTCACCTTACACCACTAACACCTAATTCCTGGAATTATGGAGAACAAGCTGGATGTGTAATGGTGTAATAGCTCGAACAGTAGTGGTCGGGATCGCCTAGCAATTACTGTCGGCTATGTAGTGCGTGTTGTGTAATTATGTGTAATTGTGTATAAATATGTGTATGTGTGTAGGTGTGTATACAATTAAACAAATAGGTAATAAAAAATGGTAACACGGTTTCTGATAGCTGAGTTGCTGTATAATACACAATAATAATAATAATACAAATATATAAAAATCACAGCAACACAGTAGGTATAAAAAATATAATATAAATAATAAATCAAAGCCCTTATGGCTATAATAGTATATAATATATTGTGGCCCTTCTGGCCCGACAGAAAAAAGGTATAAATGCCCAGCCCTTATGGCCAAACAAATAACAATTTAATATGATGGCAGCTATTAAAGCTGTAAATCAGTATAAGCATAAATGATACTAAATGATATATATTATAAAATTCACAGCAATATAATAGATAATAAAAATAAAGGTTTAACTCACAGAAGCTATAAGAGCTATGTGAAAATATAAAAAGATTAGCCCTTCTGGCTCAACATAATAGTAATAATATATAAAATAATGCGTGCAAAATAATGTGCGGCCCTTATGGCCAAACAAAATATAAATATAATGTTTTGTAAAATTGCAGTTATTAAATATAAAAATAATAATAATATGCGGTCCTTATGACCTAGCAGAATAATAATATAATAGTACTATGCGCCTTTCTGGCACGACAGAATATAATGATAATTGTAACAAAAATATAATAAATATAATAAAATAACTCACAGTAGTTTGTGGAGCGCAGACTGGCCAGTTGCTCCTGAGCTATAGGTATTAAAACACAAGAAAAAACACATACGATAACAGAGTACAATTATTTAAAGTGTTACAAAAAAATAGGTAACTGCTAATGAGTATAATATTATAAAACTGACGATTGCGCTTATTACGACAGTAATAAATAACAATACTATAGTGTCGCACAGAAAATGTAATATAATAATTTAATTTGTTACAATTGTAGTAGGCCCTTCTGGCGCTAATAATTATAATAAAAAACAATATTTGCACTAACTTATTTAACAATTATTGAAAATAATAAATATATTTTTTGTTTGCACACACCGTGCTAGCGACGTTTTATACGAGACGGACAAAGGAAGACAGTGTCACGGCGGCCGTGATAAGTAAAAATCCGCGTAGACGGAGCGGCGGCGTGCGATAACGTTTAATCTACATATTATATAATTCACAAGACACATTCAACGATAATAATAATAAAACAATACAAATAGTGATATGTGAGTGTGTGTGTGTGTGTGTGTGTCCAGCTGTTCCCCGGTGACCGATGTCCTATATTCTTATTTTTTTTAATTGGGTAGGTACTATGTTGTGTAATGCTTTTATGTTGCGGCGGCAACAATGATTATTTTCTACATATTGATCTTTAAAATTGTATGCCATTTGTAACATATTATCGTTTAATATTGTTATATTGATGTTTTCTAATCTTTCATCTAATAGTATTTTATAGAAACTTTTAGAGTCAGTAATAAATTTAGTTTTCTTCATATTTTGCCTTTGTCCAAATTTTCCCCATAGACTACATAAGCATATTTTAGCTATAGCTCTTCTACCTGGATTATAACATATTTTATCTTTATCTAACAAAATGCCCATTTTATCAAAAATTGCTTTTATATACTCTTCATTAGAATTGTACTTATGTTTAGAACTTTCTAATTTTATTTTCATGAAATAATTCACATATTTTTTAAACAAGTTTGATGATTTTTTTTTGAAATTCCATACTTCATAAATTTTTTTATAATGTATCCTTTCTCCAGAGCTTTTTTAATTTCATCTGTAGTCCAAGTTCCTATAAATTGCCTTTCACCTTCAGAATGAGTACATTTCTTAATTTGTTCAAAAGCACATTTATAACATAATGGAAATAATAATTTTTCATTTTTTTCCATTTTTACTTTTATAGGTAGTACAGGATGGTAAAGATTATTTGGAGGTAATACTTTGCATTTAATCAAGCCAAACCAATTTTTGTCAAATACTTTTGGTTCAGATATTTTATCCGGATGTCCAATAGGATAATAATCATAATAGTTTACAGTAGGATATAAACTACATACATCAATGTAGAGTATTTTTGTATTTTCTTGTATTTTTTTTGTATTATTTACTCTTAGTTTTATAGTATTTGTTCTAACCCCATAGAAAGCATCTCTCGGATTAATAGGACCTACTACATCAATTTCATTCAAGTTTTTATTCAATCTTTTGTATACATCACTGTTTATCCAGTCACATTCCCATTTTTCAACAAGATTATATCCTGCATTTTTTATTCTCATATTTCTGTTAGTTGTTTTTTCAAATAGATCCTCCATTGTCTCATTATTTATATTATTAATTATTTCTCTGTCACTAAAACATCTAGTACATCCATGCCAAAAACACATATGATATTGGTATACAGTTTTTAACTTTTCATCAAAGCCGTCAACTCTAACACCTAATATTTCCTTTTCACCACCATTTAAGGCATGACAGATATTTTTGTTATTAAAATGTTGTATCCACATTATAGACTGTTTAGAATAGGTTTCATTTTTCTCTTTATCTAAAACAGCTATAGTGTCTTTTTTTAGAAATGTTGATCTATATATAGTCATACAGACACCTGCTATGGTTACATATTTAAAAGGGTCAATATTAGCTATTTCTAAAAAATCTCCTCTAAGTTTCAAACTACCTCTTCTCAAAATGTCAACATCTGATGTACAATACTCTAAAAGCTCTTTCTTCATGTCAAAGATGTAATTTTCTTGTTTTTTTAGTAAATACCATTCTAAAAATTCTTCTCTTAATTCAGGTTTCATTTGATCAAAACAGTAGTATTTTTTATCAGGAATAGGCCCAATATAATTAGCATTTTCTACAGTATTAAATAAATGAGGAAAAAATCCTTTTTTTAATTCTGATAAACCAAATGTTTTAGGAAAATTTGCTAAGGGACCCTGAATAAAATTACTACTGTCGATAATTTTTAGATTTATTACTGGAATTTTTAAAAACATTAATTTTGAACCATTGTAAATTGTTGCAGGCTTAAGAGTATTTTCAACACAATATTTTAGTATAAATTGAGAGTCATAGGCTTTCGAATTGTGTGCTATACATGTAAAATTTATATGTATATTTGATATTAACCATTTACATAGTTCATCATTTGTGTCAAATTTGTATATTTTACCTATAAAATCAGAAACAATTATTAAGTTTGGAATATGTATACCAGTTTCTTGTTGAGCCTCATAATCCAAGAATAAATATTTTTCTGTATAGGTACATTTTGATAGTTTTGGTTCTTCACTCTCACCAAAAATCTCATTTGCAAAAGGAAATGGGTATAGTAAATCTAATAATTCTTTTTTATTCAATTTACTATATTGTTTCACTTTATCTTCTTTTGCTTTAATTCTTAGTTCTTTAAGATTACAATCTTCAATATTTTTAATATTTTCATCAATGTTACCTTTACATAAGCAAATTTCTCTTTTAGATTTACCTCCTTTCTGACTAAGCCATTGAATGTAACATTTATGTTTTGCTATTTCAACTTCTTTCCAACAATTTATACATTTCTCTATTCCGCATTTGTGTTCATCACTTCTCATGCAGATTTTATTACAAACCCGACATTTAAAAGCTACTTCACAAACTTTCTGATGACTTTCAAGACATTCTTGATTAAAGCAATATCTATTACATTTTTCACAGTACACTCTTTCCTTTTTACTTAAATGTTTAAGTTTTTTACATAATAAACATAGTTCTTTTTTATCTTTA